ACGGATCCCAGGCCCCCACCCCACCCCACCCTGCAGCTCCTCCCCCCTGCTAGCCGGGGCCGGGGCCAGGTTTCAGGGGGCCAGGCTCCGTGAAGCAGAGTATTGTAAGGCTGAGGGTCTCCTGCACCGCCCTCCCCATGGCTCCCTTCCAGCCAGGTTTGTTGCCCGGAGCTGGGACAGTGAGGGAGAGCTGCTTACGTTTCCGACACCCTCCCCCTCGGGCGGACGCCCCCTCTCCCAGAAGAGGCGCTCCGCCAGCGCCCCGCACGCAGAGCCCTTGTTTACGTGGCTGCTGTGGGTCTTTGTGTAGCCTTCAGGGCCGCACTCCCTCGGCAAGAAAGTTCAAAGATTGCCAGCGCTCACGAGTTTATTAGCAGTTGATGGATACTTTGCAGAAACAAGTTGATGCCTGATGAGTCACCTTCTGCTCGGAGCCCTGTCCCTCTTGTTTTTCCATATGCTCCCATGTGTGCGCATGCAAACACACACTCCAGTGTGCTCACGTCTGGGGACACACAGTCTCGCTTACACTTGTGCTTGATAGGTGCACGCGTGGGGGTGGGGGGGTGACGGGCCCGTGTTCCGGGTTGGCTTTCGGTGGGGTGGGGATTGAGGGAGGGGAACGGGCCCTCAGTTCCCCGTTGTGTGGCTGTCTGGGCAGGCATCTGAGAAGGCCAGGTGGGGTGTCTGCAGGGGGTGTGCTTGGCTGCCTCAGTGGGTCGGAGGGCACGGTGTCCACTTGCTCATGGGACGCCTCCATGCGAGACTGGCTGCTGCTTAAAAAACAGTTCATGGGGCTGACTGGCTCCCAGGTCCTAACATGCCTGTCGCCACTGGACCGAGTTGTGTGCTGAGCTGCACTAGAGCGGCAGACGGGCGGCCCCCAGCCCTCCTCCCCACCGTGGCCACGCTGCCACAACCCCTCTGTTCTCCAAGCCCTGCTGTTCCAAAATCAAAAAGGCCAAGCACACCCCGAAAGACACCTCACAGCCAACCCCTCCTTCCTGTCCTAAGCCTTCGCCCCCCCACCCCTCTCCCCATTTTTGTTAACAAATACAAGACTTCCGGTCTCCGCCCTGCCACCACAAACCGCAGCCGGGTTCCTGCAGCCCGGCCTGGCTGGGAGATTTATGGTTCCCAGTCTGAGGCCTGCCCTGCTGGCTCCAGCTTAAGGAGGAGTCGGAATGCCAGCCGCCAAGGGCTCCCTTTCCTTCCATACGTCCCCCTTTAAAGAGCTCCGTGTGCCGATTTAGGAAAATCACCTTACCAGGATCTCACCAGCCTCCCAGGCTGCCTGCAGGAAGAGACGCTTCTGGGACGTCCCGGGTGGGGCCTGCAGGGGCAGGAGGAAGGAGGGGGCAGGCCGGGCGCCTAGATGCTGCTGGGTGGGAGGGGAGAAGGGCACTTTAAGGGTAGCCATGCCCAGTTTAGACACACAATCTCGTGTCGGCTAGAGGAAGCTTCCTTAAGGTGGTCTGGGTGAACTGGACTGTCCTCGGTTGTGATTTGGCATTTTGGCGGGAATCCACGCTTTGTGCGCAGCGCTGCTGCCGACAGACACCGAGGGTGGTTTCTGTGTTAGGAAGATTCTTTTGCCCCCAAACGCCTCCATTTACATTTTTACCAGACAGCTCTTACGCCCAAAGCACTGATCTGAGAACCTGGTGACAGCCACAGAGACCACGGGGCAGGTGGTCCTGGCGTCTGGAGATCGGGTCCTGCCGGGCCCTGGCTGTGTCATGCTCCGGGACCCGAGCAGCAAGCTTTCCGGGCCCAGGTTTCTCATCAGGATGGCCCGGGCACAGGGCGCTGGCCCTCAGGGTGCCATCAGCTTACAGAACGAACTCTAGGCCATCTGCAAGGCCTCTTACGGCTCTAACACCAGGACCAGGCCCCCTGGTCTCTGAGCGCACAGGGATGGGCCTCCTTGGGCCAGGGGGGCACGCGTACTGGTGTCTGGGTCCCTGACAGGATGGGGAAGGGGTGGGATGAGGTGCGCCCAGCGGGCCCCCTGCTTAATTAAAGTCGGGACACTTCTACCAGAGAGTCAGGATTTTCAGCGCCAGTGGGAGGCCTGGAACCGGTGGGCCGCCCAGCACCACCAGCATCGCCTCCAGTCGTGTGCCGAGAGCCGAGCTGGTTGTGGGTGCGTGGGGATGCGCCTGTGTGTGTGTGTGTGGGGGGGGACGTGGGGGATTCCGGGAGGAAGAGGAAGTCCCGTCCCCACCAACCATGTCTGCCGTTTTGTCTTGTAGATTCCCACCTTCTCCTGGAGCCTGGGGATCGGTCACACTGGTGCGTGGTGGCATACTGGGAGGAGAAGACGCGCGTGGGGCGGCTCTACTGCGTCCAGGAGCCCTCCCTGGACATCTTCTACGATCTACCTCAGGGGAACGGCTTTTGCCTCGGACAGCTCAATTCGGACAACAAGAGTCAGCTGGTGCAGAAAGTGCGGAGCAAAATCGGCTGCGGCATCCAGCTCACGCGGGAGGTGGACGGCGTGTGGGTGTACAACCGCAGCAGCTACCCCATCTTCATCAAGTCGGCCACACTGGACAACCCGGACTCCAGGACGCTGCTGGTGCACAAAGTGTTCCCCGGCTTCTCCATCAAGGCCTTCGACTACGAGAAGGCGTACAGCCTGCAGCGGCCCAACGACCACGAGTTCATGCAGCAGCCGTGGACTGGCTTCACCGTGCAGATCAGCTTCGTGAAGGGCTGGGGCCAGTGCTACACCCGCCAGTTCATCAGCAGCTGCCCGTGCTGGCTGGAGGTCATCTTCAACAGCCGGTAGCCGCACGCCGGCGGCCGAGGACAGAGCGAGCCGGGCGGGCCCAGTCCAAACTACTTTGCTGCTAATATTTTCCACCTGAGTGCTTGCTTTTCATGCAAAAGTCTTTGGTCATTGTTCTTTTTTTTTTTTTCTCTCTCCTTCTTGTCATTCTTGTTTATGTCCGTTTTGTTTCGTTCTTTGAGAAGTAGCTTATGAAAAGAATTGTTGGGGTCTTTTTTTGGGAGGGGGTATCGTACAGTTGGCAAGACACCCCCATGTGAAAAGGGGAAGCAAAAATCAGTCCCCCTGAACACAGTGCATGAACGGGGAGCAGCCCCTAACTCTGGGGGTCATCGTTTCACTTGTCAGGGTGGGTATGTGAACAGGTGTGTGTGTGTGTGTGTGTGTTTGTGCACGCGCACACCCATGAGTTCTGCGCTCCCAGCTGTGTCGCCCTTGCCCTCTGGACATGCTCAGTGAGGCAGAGACAGCACCCGGGCAGCCTGAGCCAATGTCCCAGCAGTTGCCAGAAGCAAGGCTCTGCCCTCAGCCAGGGAAGCCCCCCGCCCCGCCCTCCCCTTCTAAGGACCCCGGCCTGTCACTAGGCTTCTTAGAAAGAAGAGGCTGCCCCAGAATTGTTTTCGAGTTCGTCTTAACTCCCCTCCAGCCACCCTGCTGCCATTGTATTCCCTCCGTGGCACCTGCTCCTGGATGTGTCTGAGCTACAGTATCGCTCACCCGGTGCCCTCTCAGGCCCTCAGCCTCTCCCCTGCCCCGGACCCCTCAGGTTTTACCCAGACTCAGAAAATCAGCTCAGCGCGTTGCTCTCCTGCGGCCTGTGTTGAGCTCTGCTGTTAGACCAGCGAGGGGAGCAGCCCGCTTCCCACCAAGGATTCGGTCCATCATAACCCAAGGTACCGTCCTGGACTGACACCTAACTCTTCTTTCGTTTCTTCTCCAACTCATACACTCGTATGATGTGTTGACACTGCTCTTAGCTCAATGAGCATGTTTAGACTTTAACATAAGCTATTTTTCTAACTACAAAGGTTTAAGTGAACAAGAGAAGCATTCTCATTGGAAATTTAGCATTGTAGTGCTTTTGAGAGAGAGGACTCCTGGAAAAAAAACCCACAAAAACACACACAAAACCCTGAGATTTATTAAAGAAAAAATGTATTTTATGTTATATATAAATATATTATTACTTGTAAATATACAGACGTTTTATAAGCATCATTATTTATGTATTGTGCAATGTGTATAAACAAGAAAAATAAAGAAAAGATGCACTTTGCTTTAATATAAATGCAAATAACAAATGCCAAATTAAAAAAAGATAAACACAAGATTGGTGTTTTTTTCTATGGGTGTTATCACCTGGCTGAATGTTTTTCTAAAGGAGTTTATGTTCCATTAAACAATTTTTAAAATGTATACTTGATTCCACGTTGTCCTCCAGCTCCTTTGTCTTATGATGGGCTATGTGGGCAGGGGTGTCAGGAGTCTGGGGACAGTTGGGGTCTCCCTGGCCCAGCGCTTGGTTGGGGAGAAGGGGGAGGGGGGCCGTGAAAGGAATGTCCAGAGCAGCCTGCCTCGGTGGTCAGTTCCCTGTGTGCAGTAAGACCCAGAGCTGCTACACAGACACCCTTGTTAGGCGGGGACCCGCGGGCGTAGCCAGCTGGGTGCCCTGAGTTTGTCATGGGGTCAACCTCAGGAAGCTCAGAGTTACAAAAGTGGGGAGTTTTTTTGTTTGTTTTTTTTCAAAGCTTGAGAGAATTGAGAAAGGGGTTTATTTTGGGTAGGAAGTTGCATTGGGAGACGGGTCCATCCCTTCCTGCTTGCTCAAGGTCACTGCCCCACTGGCCCCAGGACAGCTTCTCCGAGGAACGCAGTTCTGGGAGGAAGATGAGGGGAGGCTGAGAGTTGGCGCCCGTGGACTTGGGGGGCCGCCTCCCCAGTCATGGGCCAGGCACTCCAGGAAGTGGAGGAACCTGAGAGCCCGACCTGCTCTGCATCCCCTCCCCCATCCACCGGAACTCTAGCGACAGGTCAGTCCCCCTCAGCCAGCCCAGCCCAGCCCAGCCCGATGGCACTTGCTGGTAAAGTGCCCCTGTGGTACTTGCCCTGCGGTTTCTGTGGTTGATCTGAGCCATGATGTAGATTCAGGCCTGCACCAGATGGGCACTGTGTAACTCATGGACAGAGAATAGGGCGGTGAGGGCCTGGGAGGGGCAGGCATGGGGTGGAGGGAGTCAATGGGAAAAAGACAAAGGGAACGTCTGTAATACTTTTCAACAATGAAGATAAAACCAGAGATGGTCACCAACCAGGAGTTGTATAGGTAGGTATCTGTTGGGGCTCATAAACCTTGGATCCAGGAGGGTGTCCACAGGGGGGGTTAAGATTTTGGGTATCATAAACTGTTAGAATTTCAATAAGCCTTTTTGGAGGGCCAAAGTAAGAACGGCCAATTTTTCATTTTGCCAAATTAGTGACACGGCAGTACCTCCTCCTGGCACCACCCTTTCATTCAAGGGACTTCTAATACAACGATGTGGTAAGGAATACTAATACGTGTCCATTTATGCGCTAGAGCCTTTGTGGCAAATGGCCAACTGGGCCAGCTGGGTCATTGAGGCGACGGGGAGCTCACTACCTATCAAAAGAACATTGCTTTTTTCTCGGTTGAACTGAAACCTACCTTCATTTATTCTAGCTCTGCGACCCAGAATAAGTCCAATCCCCACCTCCGAACACACCCAAGGAGGGCTCATTACCACCCGTGCGGAGGGGCGGAGGGGTGGGTGGGAGGTGTTGGCTGGGAGCCGGCAAAGGCCCTTCAGTTTGCTCTAACTTGCATCAGCACGCCGGGAAGCTGCAGCATGATAGCCACCACTTAGTGCAGTGATGGCGAACCTATGACACGCGGGTCAGAGGTGACACGCGAACTCATTTTTTTTGGTTGATTTTTCTTTGTTAAATGGCGTTTAAATATCTACACTAATAAAAGGGAAAAATGGTAATTGGTGTACGACGCTACCCTTTTCATTGCCGAATCAGGGCTATATGCAAATTAACTGCCAACTAAGATTGGCAGTTAACTGCCAACAAGATGGCGGTTAATTTGCATATGTAGGCACAATGCAGGGAGGCGAAAGGGAAAGCAGGAAAAAGCCCCCTGCCACTGACAGTGATCCGAAACCCAGGGGGGAGCTAAGAGCTGGGGGGCAGGGCAAAGGCGGCCCTGGGGCCACCTTTGCCCTGCCCCCGAGCCATGATCGGAGAATCAGGTGCCTTTTCTGCCCTGGCCAGTGATAGCAGGAAGAAGGGGTGGAGCCAACGATGGGAGCCAGGAGCTAGGGGTCCCTTGCCTGGGCCTAAAGCGAAGCCCACGATTGCGGGGCCACTGCAGCTGCGGGTCCCCGCTGCCCGGGCTGGACGCTTAGGCCAGAGGCGTTAGGCCTGGGGAGGGGTGGAGCCTGCAACCGCGGGGAGCTGGGGGTCCCCTGCCCAGGCCTGACACCTCTGCCAGAGGCCTCAGGCCTGTGCGGGGGACAGAACCATTGATCGGGGGGAGGTGGGGCTCCCAGTATGTGAGAAGGGGCAGGCTGGGCTGAGGGACACCCCCCACACACACACCCCCAGTGCATGAATTTCGTGCACCGGGCCCCTAGTATAAAATAAATATCAAACATATGTCTTTGTTCTCCTATGGTTGCAAATATCAAAAAATTTCTATATGTGACACGGCACCAGAGTTAAGTTAGGGTTTTTCAAAATGCTGACACGCCGAGCTCAAAAGATTCGCCATCACTGACCCTACTGAGTGCTTTACTGGGTGCCAGGCAGGCTGCTCCCCGTGGAAGGGAACTATTTCTTGTCGGACCCTCTGCAAAAATGGAGGCTGCTTTGAGAGGTTAAAGACTTGCCCAAGGACGCTCAGGGGGAAATGCTTGGGCAGGCCACGGTCTGACGCTCCGTCTACGCCCTGTAGACATGGTTATTGATGGAGTCGGGGTGGTGCCAGTCCCACAGCTCCTCAAAATCAGGATAATATGAGCCACCATGCTGCCGCCTGGCCCGCTGTTTGGGCGGGGCCTCGGGTTTGGAGGCCAGAGCCATGGTGGCAGCTCCTTCAAGCCCTCCTGTTACCTGGATTTGGGATTTGACATTCAGCCTGAAGAGGTCAGAATTGGGGTGCGGGTGTGTGGATCCCTGGGGGTGGGTGGCTCTGGGTGGGCAGGGAAAGAAGACCGTTTAGGAAAAGCCAGGTGTGGCTGGAGGCCGACACGCCTCACCTGGCCAGAGGGACTTCACCTGAGCGCCTTCCATGTGCCAGGACTGCGCTGCGGGGCACTGCCCTCGGTGTCCTGGAGGACAGGACGCCCACACCCAGGATGGTCCCAGCAGCACAGGGAGAGGGGTGTGCCCAGGCCTCACGGAGGAGGCGGCTCCCAGCCCAGGTGGAGTTTGGATTAGTGAGGGGAGAGAAGGTGCCCAGAGTTTTCCTGCCACCTGGCTCTCCCCCTTCGTATTTCAGCTCACCCCTTTTATTTGGGGGTGTCCCTGGGCAGCCGGCATCACTCAGGTGGCTGATCTCCCCTCACCTGGGGGTGTCTCAGCTGCCCCAACAAGAAACTTGGATTCTCCCATCTCTGCCTCACCCCCAGTCATAACATAGAAAACCAAATCCTGCCCACCCTGCCTCCTTTAGTCCCCAGTTACGACATTTCAGTATCGCCCCCATGTTTCCTTTCTCCATCCCACTAGGACGATTTCGTCCAGGGACTTGTAGCATCTCCTTGACTCTCCTCTACTCCCAGTGGCCTTCCAGCCCCTGCCTCTGCCAACCTCACCCTTTAACCCCACACACCCCGCCCCCCTTGCACATGCAGACCCTCTGTCCCCGGCACGTAGGGTGACTTCACTTCCCCGCCCTGAGCACGCCTTGCTCACGTGCTTCCAAGCAAGGGCTTTCCGGCTCCTTTAATTGGCTGTCTCCTTACCCTTCAGGTGGCGACTTGGGCCACACCTCCGCCAGGGAGCCTCCCAGCTTTAAAAAATGCCTGCCCTGTAGAGATATCAATGGTGTAGGATTCTGCCTCCCTTACTGAACCCTAAGTTCTTGGTACTCTGGGGTCTCAGCTGGGGCCCCAGGTAGGATCTGCTGGCGCAGTGCTCACTCAGACGGCTTGTCCCATAAAGGAGGGGGGTGGGCAGCCCTGTGGGCTTAGCTTAGGCTGGGAGTAATAATAATGGCCAGCACTGGTTGTTTTATGACTTTGTGCTGGGAAAGGTCCCAAGCCCTTTGCCGTGGGCTGGTCCATTTAAACCTTACAACCACCCTAAAGCAAATAGCATTGTCCTGAGCCCCATTCTACAGATAAAGAAACTGAGGTGGAAAGAGTTGCCGGCGGTCCCCCAGCCGGTAGCATCAGATTTCATCACCGCTGCGCAATCTCATCTCCATGGGCGGGCCTGGGTCATGGGATGACTTCGTTGGGCACATGTTTTCTCTACAACAAGTTCTGGTTAGGAAAGACCAAGCTGGTCTGATTGCT